AGGGGGTCGGCGGCCTCATAGGGTGCGCCCCAAGGGGGGAATCCTACTCCTAGTAGAAGTAGGTTCTCCCTTTCCTAGTCCAACTAGGAGGGGAAGGAAAGAGGAGGAGGGGAGAGGGAAAGAGGGGGACGGCCCCCCAAGCCCTAAACCAATTCGGTTTGGGCCTAGGGGGCGCGCCCTACAGCTCCCTTGCTGCCCTCTATTTCCACTAAGGCCCATGAAGGCCCATTGACCCCTCGGGGGGTTCCGGTAACCTCTCGGTACTCCGGTAAATGCCCGAACTCATCCGAAACTATTCCGGTGTCCAAACATAACCTTCCAATATATCAATCTTCATGTCTCAACCATTTCGAGACTCCTCGTCATGTCCGTGATCACATCCGGGACTCCAAACAACCTTCGGTACATCAAAACACATAAATTCATAAGACCAATCGTCATAGAATGTTAAGCATGCGGACCCTACGGGTTCAAGAACTATGTAGACATGACTGAGACACGTCTCTGGTCAATAATCAATAGCGGAACCTGGATGCTCATATTGGTTCCTACATATTCTACGAAGATCTTTATCGGTCAAACCGCATAACAACACACGTTGTTCCCTTTGTCATCGGTATATTACTTGCCCGAGATTCGATCGTCGGTATCTCAATACCTAGTTCAATCTCGTTACCGGCAAGTCTCTTTAATCGTTCTGTAGTACTTCATCCCGCAACTAACTCATTAGTCACAATGCTTGCAAGGCTTATAGTGATGAGTATTACGAGAGGGCCCAGAGATACCTCTCTGAAACTCGGAGTGACAAATCCTAATCTCGATCTATGCCAACCCAACAAACACCTTCGGAGACACCTGTAGAGCACCTTTATAATCACCCATTTACGTTGTGACATTTGGTAGCACACAAAGTGTTCCTCCGGTATTTGGGAGTTGCATAATCTCATAGTCTGAGGAACTTGTATAAGTCATGAAGAAAGCAGTAGTAATGAAACTAACACAATCATAATGCTAAGTTAACAGATGGGTCATGTCCATCACATCATTATCCTAATGATGTGATCATCAAATGACAACACATGTCTATGGTTAGGAAACATAACCATCTTTGATTAACGAGCTAGTCAAGTAGAGGCATACTAGGGACTATATGTTCTGTCTATGTATTCACACATGTACTAAGTTTTCGGCTAATACAATTCTAGCATGAATAATAAACATTTATCATGATATAAGGAAATAAATAATAACTTTATTATTGCCTCTAGGGCATATTTCCTTCAGGTATCCTCCTCTGAATGTTCGAGTGGCTTGACTTGGCACATGTTCATGCATGTAGTTGAATCAAAACCAACATAACCTCTATGATATTTATGTTCATGGTGTTCATATCCTACTCATGCTAGTATCCAATGTTACGTATGCATAATGCATGTTCATGACCGTTGTTACTCTCTAGCTGGCCGCTTCTCAACCTAATTGCTATCCTTCACCTGTACTAAGTGGGAATTCTGCTTGTGCATAAAAAAACCTTAAACCCAAGTTATTCCAGATGAGTCCACCATATCTACCTATATGCGGTATTACCCTGCCGTCCTAAGAAATTTGCATGTGCCACCTCTAAAAACTTCAAATAAATATCCTTTTTGTGTGCCTGGATTGTTCATAGAGCGACAGGAGGTAGTCAATATCTTCCATGCTAAGCGTGTTATTCTCATGATGGGTGTTTATTCACTCGTCATTGCACGAGAGGGGCGGTAATAGGGATTCCCAGTCCCAAATTGCAAAATGAGCTTACAAATAATCAAACAAAAACTCCTACGGAGTCATAACCTTTACTTTTATTGCTTGGAAACCGCCGCTAATGTGTTTAGCATGGAAGATATTGATAATTAATGGTCACGAAGTAAATAAGAAGGGTGAACCTGTCAAAATTGCATTTACCTCTATTTTTAAAACTTGAGCTATGTCACCTCTGCAAATCACTGCTTCCCTCTGCGAAGGGACTATCTATTTACATTTATATTGTGTCATCACCTTCTAAAATAAGCACCAGAACCTGAGAGTACTATTGTCATGCTCATGCATTGTGTGTAGTTAATGTTGGGTGCATCATGACTGGATCTTTTCTACCATGAATTACAATGTTTAGTCACTGCTTGAACTTTGGAGGTGCTCTGCATTTATGTTTTGCGTTCTCAGAAAGGGCTAGTGAGATACCACTATTGTCATATTATATCATGGTTATTTTGACAACGTGTTGTTGTTTGAGATATCTTATTATTGCTCGCTAGCTGATTATGTCATTGATACGAGTTAATATAATTTTTAAGAGTTATTGTTGACATGGTTAGTTATAATCTTGGCTGAAAACATGTGTGTTGTTTAAGCTTATTTATGCAAACGAGAGAAAAAGAGTTCGTAAAAGTTTTTCTTTTTCACTTTCAGTTTATCAACTGAATTGCTTGAGGGCAAACAAAGGTTTAAGCTTGGGGGAGTTGATACATCTCTGTCGTATCTATTTTTCCTAACGCTTTTCCTCTTGTTTTGGATTTGAATGAAACTAATCCGGATTGACGCTGTTTTCAGCAGAACTATCATGGTGTTGTCTTTGTGCAAAAATAAAAAGCTCTTCGAATGGAACGAAACTTTGCAAGGAATTTTTATATGAATAAAGATCATTTCTGGAGCCAAGAACCATCGGAGGGGCACCTAGATGGGCACAACCCACCAGGGCGCACCACCCCCTCCAAGCGTGCCCAGGTGGGTTGTCCCCAGCTGGTGGCCCCGCAGACCCTGAAACCGACGCTACAAAATCCTATTTTTCTAGAAAAAATCAGGGAGAAAGAATTATCGCATTCTATGAGACGGAGCCACCGCCACCTCCTATTCTTCATCGGGAGGCCAGATCTGGAGTCCGTTTGGGGCTCCGAAGAGGGGGATCTTCGATCTTCGTCATCACCAACCCTTCTCCATCGCCAATTCCATGATGCTCCCCACTGGGAGTGAGTAATTCCTTTGTAGGCTCACTGGTCGGTGAGAAGTTGGATGAGATTCATCATGTAATCGAGTTAGTTTTGTTAGGGCTTGATCCCTAGTATCCACTATGTTCTGAGATTGATGTTGCTATGACTTTGCCATGCTTAATGCTTGTCACTTTGGACCCGGGTGCCCTGATTTCATATCTGAACTATTTATGTTATCACCATTATATCTATGTTCTAGATCCGATCTTGCAAGTTATAGTCACCTACTACGTGTTATGATCCGGCAACCCCGGAGTGACAATAGTCGAGACACTTCTCGGTGATGACCGTAGTTTGAGGAGCTCATGTATTCACCGTGTGTTAATTCTTTGTTCCGGTTCTCTATTAAAAGGAGGCCTTAATATCCCTTAGTTTCCAATTGGACCCCGCTACCACGGGAGGGTAGGACAAAAGATGCCATGCAAGTTCTTTCCATAAGCACGTATGACTATTTACGAAATACATGCCTACATTATATTTATGAACTGGAGCTAGTGCCGTATCGCCCTAGGTTATAACTGTCACATGATGAATATCATCCAACAAATCGCCGATCCAATGCCAATGATTTTCCTACATATTGTTCTTGCTAAGTTACTACTGCTATTGTTACTATTGCACTTGCTACAAAATCACTGCTACCACTGTTACCGTTACTGTTGCTACTACTATCAAAACTATCATACTACTTTGCTACTGATCATTTTGCTGCAGATAATTAATCTCTAGGGGTGGTTGAATTGACAACTCAGCTGCTAATACTTACAAATATTCTTTGGCTTCCCTTGTGTCGAATCTATAAATTTGGGTTGAATACTCTATCCTCGAAAACTGTTGCGATCCCCTATACTTGTGGGTTATCAGTCCATTCCATCAACAGATCGGGTTCGATGCGGCTCGGCAGGTGACACATGTGCCTCTTTCGGAGTTGTCGGGCGATGCATGTCGTCGGCAGGTGAAGCCACCGGTGGATGCGCTACCGGCGGATGCTACGCACGACGTCTTATACGGAGACGTCAAGTCATGTCTCTACCTGCAGGTGATGCACGGTGGCTCTGGCGGACATGTCATGTTTAGCCTGTTGTTGTTGGATCAAAGTGGTGCGACAGTAGCGGAGGCAGGCGGTATGTGACGTCTTTGTCTTCCGTTGCCTTCTCGAGAGGTATTCGACTATCAAGGCGTCGGTAGACGGATAAGGGTGGATGGTATAGACGGCTTCAACAACGAGTTTATACACTTCGATGGAAACACAAGATCTCTACTTGGGCTATGTCGCCACGTGCCTATGTCGTGTCATTGCTGAAGGTGGTGGATTGAAACTTGGCTTTGGGGGTGAAAATTCAGAGTTCGCCATCATCGGCGCACGTGCGGCGATTCCTTCTTGAAGATGTAGCCTGGGAGTTGTGTATTTTTCGTTTATGTTGTGTCTTGTATCATAGGGTTAGTCTGGGGGAGTTACTCTCGCAAGGTATACGGCCTCAGAGTTTGTTTTCCGCTTTATTTTCAGGTCGATGGTGTTCGGCTGCTAAGTTTTGCACTATTAATAATATATGGTTGTATGCATAGTCCAGATGCAGAGGCCGGGTTACCTTCTTTCAGAAAAAAAAATCACCTTTATACCTAACAAAAAGATACTCCATCCGTTCCTAAATGTAAGTCTTTTTAGACATTTCAAATAGACTACAACATACAGATGTATATAAACATATTTTAGAGTGTAGATTTACTCACTTTGCTCCATACGTAGTCATTTGTTGGAATCTCTAGAAATACTTATATTTGGGAACGGAGGGAGTAGATGAGTAAAGTGGGTCATGGAACACAAAAGTCATATTAACGGGTTTGTGTAATAAAAACATTTCTAATCATAGCCTGTGAGTTTTGGTCTGACCAAACCACCTCAACGTCACCGGAAAAGCGCACACCTGAACCCAAAGTACCCAGGTCCCAGACCGCCGGATCCTTTGAATCCTGATGCGGAGATGGCCGCCTCCCATCTCAGGCGTCGCCCACCGCCGCGCGGCGTCCGCGGCCGCGGCCGCGGCTACGGTTGCACCCCCCACCGGCGAGCTGGTCCGGCAACACAACCGCTCCCTCGCGGCTCTTCTCCGCCGCGGCCGCCTCGCCGCAGCCTGGCGCCTCTTCGACGCTCTCCCAGTCCGCGACGTCGTGACCTGGAACTCGCTCTTAGCGGCGCTAGCCCGCCGCAGCGACGTAAGCGCTGCCAGCGCCTTTTTCGCCTCCATGCCCGTCCGGGACGTTGTGTCATGGAACACTCTCCTCGCCGCCTACTCCCGCTCGTCGCACTCCCATCACCTCGCCGCCGCGCGCCGCCTGTTCGACGAAATGCCACAGCGCGACGGCGTCACGTGGAACACCCTCCTCAGCGCATATGTGCGCCGCGGGCTCATGGGCGAGGCTGGGAAGCTGTTCGACGAGATGCCGCAGAGGGGCGTCACTTCTTGGAACACGATGGTCACCGGGCTCTTTGCTGCTGGTCAGGTGAGCAAGGCCCTCGACATGTTCAATGCGATGCCTGTGAAGGACTCTGCGTCGCTGGGCACACTGGTGTCTGGGTTAGCCAAGAATGGCCGGTTGCATGAGGCAGAGGAGCTGTTGACAAAGCGCTTGATGGTGACAGATATGGACAAGGCTGTTGATGCTTACAACACACTCATCGCTGCGTACGGGCAAGTTGGGAGGGTGGACGATGCCAGAAGATTATTTGATATGATACCCAGAGGTCAGAATCAGCACCAGATGAGCAATATGAGGGTGTTTCAGAGAAATGTTGTGTCATGGAACACAATGATGATGTGCTATACCAGAACTGGAGATGTTTGCTCAGCTAGGATGCTGTTTGATGAGATGCCGGCTAAGAACTTGGAATCGTGGAACACTATGGTTGCTGGGTATGCCAAGGTGTCCAATATGCAGGAAGCAGAGAAGCTGTTTTGGGAAATGCCAGACCCTGATATGGTGTCTTGGAATTTAATCATACGAGGATTCACACAGATAGGAGAGGTTGAGCATGCCCGTGGATTTTTTGATAGGATGCCAGAGCGTGCAATCATCTCCTGGAATACAATGATATCAGGTTATGAACAAAATGGGGACTATGATGGTACAATTGAGCTATTTTCAAAGATGCTAGAAGTTGGTGGGATGCCTGATCGGCACACCTTCTCTTCAGTTCTAGCAGCATGTGCGTCGATCCCTATGTTGCCCCTTGGAGCTCAGCTCCACCAACTTATTGAGAAGTCGTTTCTGCCAGATACTGCAATTAGCAATGCCCTTATAACAATGTACTCCAGAGGTGGGGCAATAACTGATGCGGAAGCCATCTTCAATCAGATGCATACGCAAAAATGTTTAGTGTCTTGGAATGCACTGATTGGAGGTTATGAACACCATGGTCGTGCAACAGAAGCCTTGCAGCTGTTCGAAGAAATGAGGAGAGCCGGGGTTATGCCAACGCACATAACTTTCATTTCTCTTTTGAGTGCATGTGGAAATGCTGGCCTTGTGTCCGAAGGATGGAGGGTTTTCCACACCATGGTCCATGAGTATGGCATTGCTGCTAGGATTGAGCACTACTCAGCACTCGTCAATCTCATAGGTCGACATGGTAAGCTTGACGATGCATTGGAGGTAATCAATAGCATGCCAATTACTCCAGACCGATCTGTGTGGGGATCTTTCCTCGGAGCATGTACTGCGAAGAAGAATGAACCACTGGCTCACATGGCTGCAAAGGCACTATCCAAGATTGATCCTGAGAGTTCTGCTCCATATGTTCTGATTCATAACTTACATGCTCGTGAGGGAAGGTGGGGAAGTGCATCTGTGGCAAGGGAAGAGATGGAACGGAAAGGTGTTCACAAGCATCCTGGGTACAGCTGGATTGATTTGCACGACAAGGTGCATGTCTTCAACGCAGGAGATACCTCCCATCCCTTTATCCAGGAAATATATTTAGTCCTAGAATGTTTTGACATGTCATCTAGAGATTGGAGCTAGACGGCACGGTGAGATTGTTGTAATATTTATATGCAACAAAGAAAAGGATTTTGCAGTGTAGAAACAAAGACATGTTTTCTGCCTTTGATTCTTCTTGACTTGTACATATCTCATTCATGTACTGTTTGTACCCTTCCCAACTCAGCTAATTTACAAACTCTGTTAATTGAGCTCTTATAGCCATCTGTTACATTTGTTGATCTGTGTGCAATCTCCTAATCAAAATAATCAAAAAAATGTGAGTTGATGCATGAACAGCTAAAGTAGACTATTTAAATGATTTATTTTTTCGACAGTGGGCTTATTTTGCTGGCTTTGTAAGGCGGGAGTTGCACAAGCCAAGAAACATGGGGATGAGCCAGGCAACTCAAGTGAGTTTGTATTACTCCCACTTATCTGGTACACATGTGTTTTGATAAACTTTAAGTGTTGTTTCACATCTGGAAAAGCAAGGTGAAATACGGGGTGGCTGTCTACTATAAGGGATTTCTTTTTCCAAAACCAGATACACTTTAGAATTTGGGGAGGGAGTGCTATACTATTGCTATAATCTTTTTTTTTCGAAAATACTATTGCTGTAATCCACCATCTAGATGAATGAACAAACACCCTTTCCTAATTGTCTGTTGGAATTTGATGAAATCTTGATTTATCAACCAAATGGTCCAAAACTATTCCATGAACATCTCAAGCAATGAACTAATAAATGGGTATTTTTGGCCAAAACTCTACAGTGTTAGGCTTATCTTTCGTTTTTCTGACTGATTAAGGTAGGACGAGTGGAGTACAGAGTATTCCTAGATAGTTTAAAGCCGAACAGGAGCGAAAACAAGTTTCATGAATATCAATTCGATTAAATGTTACTCTATAGGCAATGGATAATTAAAAAATGGAATGGGTGGGTGATGAAAGTCTTACAGTTCCAAGAAGTATAAATATTATCTCTGGAAAACAAAACATGCAGACTCTAGCCGAAAAGTTTTGATTAGCCATACTCAGTGCACGAACCCCCAGGCATGTTCCGCCATTACCAAAACTAATTATTAATTACCACGCAACCCAATCACAGTATTTACTCCCTTTTCTGTAACTCCCGATCCATTAGCCACTCTTTGAATTAATTCCTTGCATGATTCTCAACATTATTAGCCGTTTCCATCTTCCTAGTGATACAAGCATTTAAGAGCTGGGTTTGCCTTTCATCCGCTCCATATATACTCCTTCCGTCTCCCATAAGAGTATTTGGCAGCCCACGTTCTAGATCTCTCTAGAAAGAATGGATTCCAATGGAGAACAAAGGTACTACCTCCGTCCCGGTGTATAAGTCATTCGCGTAGTTCTAGGTCGATAATTTAACTATCTAAATATGTATTATATGTGACAAAAAATATATATTTAGAAACTACATCCGTGTGGAAATCTAGTGGTATACTTTTCATGACATATAACACATATTTAATTCCTCAAATCGATGACCTAGAACTACGCGAATGACTTATACACCCGGACGGAGGGAGTATCTTTTTTTCTCTGATTTCATACATCATATGGTTTGACAAAGACAGTGGACAGGCGTACATCAGAAAGTAGTGCCTTTGTTATTGCTAAGTTGATCCAGTTCTTCTTTTCATGCACCAGCTTCTGGCCTTATGGGCCATGTGTTTGGCATGATAGTTACCTGCTTGAAGAGGAGGCGCTCCTCTGCAGTCTACCCTTCCCGAGCTACGGCTGCCAACCCTTGTGCTCTATCGGCCCCGCTGTCGCGCAGAGCAGCAGTCTACAAGGTACGTTATGCAGAGCAACTTCTGGAGTATTTGATTTTAGTGCTACTTTCTGAAGTTGTAGAGCTCGCATGCAGCTCCCTGTCTCGTTCCTTGCGACACAGGCGAGCTGGATACAAGCTTTGATGATGATCTGCTGAGGTGCTGGGAGGCTATTGAGCAATCTGATAACAACACAGAAGAGAGTGGGAAGGGGCTGCCACTAGTGTGTTATGGCGAGGAGAACGGAGCAGCATCCAACGCCATGAGAACAGACTGCGTCAGATCAGAGAGGGTGCTGACGTTCGAGCTCGTGTCGCAGTACTTCTACATGCCGATCACGCAGGCGGCTCGAGAGCTGAACGTCGGGCTCACCGTCCTGAAGAAGAGGTGCAGAGAGCTTGGGATTCCCCGGTGGCCGCATCGCAAGCTGAAGAGTTTGCAGGCCCTCATCAACGACGTCGAGGTCCCCTCTTTTATCCATACTAGTTTTCCTATCTCTGATTCTGAATCTGCTAGAAATTCACATCCGTTTCACCATGTAAATGCTCTGCGATGTCGGTCATGGTTGCAGGTCCTGCAGGAGGCAGGCAAGGCGAACGAGGACGGGCAGCTGAGGGCGATGGTGGAGATGCTGGAGCAGGAGAGGCGGCTCCTGGAGCAGAAGCCGTACGTTGAGCTCGAGGAGAAGACGAAGAGGCTTAGGCAGGCCTGCTTCAAGGCCAGCTACAAAAAGAGACGACTCTTGGCTCTTGAACCTGGGGATGCATCCAAGTACTATTGACGCAGAACGTCTCGCATACATAGCCCAAGTGTTTCTTCAGTTACAAATGTTTTATTAGAGTCTTGTGCATTTCAGTTATGATGGCAGAAGAATTGAGCTAAACACCTGCTTGTATGACAAAAATTACTAGTACTAGTTCTATCAAGCATGTGATGTGAGGCACCATATATACATTCATATTTACATCACGCTATATATGCTATCGTCCCACAGCCTGCAATACACAATTCTACTGCTGTGAAGTTTCAAGCAGTGACCATGTCCGTCCTCGCGGCCGTGTCCCTCTGCTCTCTGGCGATGTCGACGTACTCCGACAGGATCGCCCTGAACTCATCGCCGGTGAGCGTCTCCTTCTCCATGAGCACGTCGACCAGCTGGTCGATGGCGGGCCGCGTCCTCCTGACGTGCGCCTTGGCGACCTCGTAAGCTTCGTCGACGATGGCCTTCACCGTCCTGTCGATGTCGGCGGCGAGCTTCTCCGACATGGAGTTCCTGGCCAGCATCCGCAGCACCACGTCCCCGCTCTGCGCCGCCTGGCCCGTCAGCGCCCACGGCCCGATCTCCGACATGCCGAACGTGGTCACCATCTGCCGCGCCACCTGCGTCACCTGCTGCAGGTCCCCCGCCGCGCCCGTCGTCACCTCCGGCTCGCCGAAGATCACCTCCTCCGCGGCCCGGCCGCCCAGCCCGCCGACGATCCTCGCGAAGATCTGCCGCTTGGACACCAGCGTCGGGTCCTCGCCCGGCAGGAACCACGTCAGGCCTCGCGCCTGCCCCCGCGGGATCAGCGTCACCTTCTGCACCGCGTCGTGCCCCGGCGTCAACGTCCTGCAGTTGAATCCATCAGTCTTTAGTGCAATCGAGAGAAATAATGGTGTCAAACGAGAAGAGGGATGGTGCATGTGTGCTTACGCGCAGACGGCGTGGCCGATCTCGTGGTAGGCGACGAGCATCTTGCTCTTGCCGTCGGTCATGCTGGTGCCCTCGAGGCCAGCGACGATGCGGTCGATGGAGTCGTCGATCTCCTTGACGGAGACGCGGTCCTTGCCGCGGCGGCCGGCGAGGATGGCGGCCTCGTTCATGAGGTTGGCGAGGTCGGCGCCGCTGAACCCGGGCGTGCGCATGGCCACCACGCCGAGGGACACGCCGGGGTCCAGCTTCTTGTTGGCGCTGTGCACCCTGAGGATCTCCTCGCGGCCGCGCACGTCGGGCAGCCCCACGGACACCTGCCGGTCGAAGCGGCCCGGGCGGAGCAGCGCGGCGTCGAGGATCTCCGGCCGGTTCGTGGCGGCAATGACGATGACGCCGCTGTCGCCGCGGAAACCGTCCATCTCGGTGAGCAGCTGGTTCAGCGTCTGCTCGCGCTCGTCGTTGCCCCCGCCGATGCCCGTGCCGCGCTGCCGGCCGACGGCGTCGATCTCGTCGATGAACACCAGGCACGGCGCGCTGTCCTTGGCCTTGTTGAAGAGGTCCCGCACCCGCGACGCGCCCACGCCCACGAACATCTCGATGAACTCCGACCCGGACAGCGAGAAGAAGGGCACGCCGGCCTCGCCCGCGATCGCCTTGGCCAGCAGCGTCTTCCCCGTCCCCGGCGGGCCCACCAGCAGAACCCCCCTGGGGATCCTCGCCCCCACCGCCGTGAACTTGTCCGGGAACTTGAGGAACTGCACGATCTCCTGGAAGTCCTGCTTCGCCTCGTCCACGCCGGCGATGTCGTCGAACGTAACGCCCGTGTTGGGCTCCATCTGGAAGTTGGCCTTGGACCGGCCGAGCCCGAAGGGCAGGCTCGGCCCGCCGCCGGGCGTGTTCATGCCCCCCGACGACCGCAGGAAGAGCGAGGCGAGGAAGAGGAGCGGGAAGCCGAGGTTAAGCAGGAGGCCGAGGACGTCCAGCCCGACGTTGGGCTCCACCGGCTCGGCCGCCAAGTCGACGCCTTTCTCCCGCATCTGCCGGACCAGCTCGGCGGGGAGCCCCGGGAGCTGCACCTTGACGCGGCGCGCCCTCGCCAGCGCCGGCTCGTCCACCTCGGCGACGGCCACCGTGCCGTTCTGGAACAGGTCCACCTTCTTGACCGCGCCAGCGTTGAGGTACTCCAGGAACCTGGAGTAGGACATCCGGTTCGATGTCAGCTCCTCCGGCGCCAGCACCGGCGGTTGATCAGCCCGTGCCGGCCTTGCCACGGCGAGCCCGAACCCGAGGCCCAGGCCGGCGCACCGGAGCAGCCCCCGCCTGCCGAGGAGCCCGGCGGCGTCTGGCGACCGGGGCGTGGTCTTGGCGGGAGAGGCCCGCCTCTGCGGCGCCTGCTTGGCGACGTCCTGCGCCTTGCAGACGGACAGGTGGCTCGTCGTCGTCAGCGACATGGCCGTGGGCGACATGCCAAGCTTACTGTTACTGATCGACCAGGCTACCAATTGGCTAGTGGCAACTGAGCGAGCAAAATGTGACAGAGTGTGGTGCTGTTGCCTGTTGCTCACGGGTTTTGGAGGGAACGTAGTACGGCAATTCATTCCGTGTTTAAATAGCTTGAGGTCACGGTGACACACTGACGCGGTGCTCATGTGGATGAGAGATCGCTGCAGTTTGGGATTTCTCCGGTGGTTTCGTGAGGGTGTTGGTGAGGTTGTCGTGTTCGTCTTCTCGTAGGATCCAGAGACGGCGGTCGGATGGAGAATTCTGGCGCGCAATCGAGGCGGGGCAGCCAGTTGGATGGCCCGCGTCCGGTCACGGCGGCGCACCGTCGTTGTCCCCCGGGTCCGGCGGCGCTATCCACGTCGCGATGCAGTCGCACGTTGGGCTCGGCGCGCTCATGGGATGTACACTTGCCCGATGGTTGCTTTTTTTTTAGGATCATGCCCGAACATGTTCATGAGGCCTTTTCTATTAAAAAACGAATTTCATAGCCAACCAACCTGTGGTTAAGATGGTTAGGTGGACAGGGGTATACTAACCAGTCAGGGTTCAAATCTTGGTGCTCGCATTATTCCTGAATTTATTTGAGGATTTCCGGCGATGCGCTTTTAGTAGGAGGAGACGTGCGTGCGTGCCTTCATGGGGTGAGTTTATGTGTGTGTATGAGCGCTTGTGTCTGATGCTTTTAAAAAAAGGAATTTCATAAAACAAATTGAAGGAATGAAATTCTTAGAAAAAAAATTATATGTTGGTTGTTTGATTAGTAGGTGTCGATCCTATAGCAATTTGGAAATGTTTATACATAACCTTTTATACTACATTTCATGGTTAATCTAACATCCGCTCTAATTTCTTGAAAATAATTCTTTGTTTTTTATGTAGTCATCAAATAAACTCAAATCCGATAGGATTTGCATGCACATGACATTCCATTCATGTGTTTTGCATTCCTATGTTTTCATTGCGAAGCAGGGGGGCCTAAAGGACAAAAGCTAGGCATAAATTACTCTCCTAACATGTTATGAACCTTGAGAGCAATTTTTTCTTTTTTGTGAAACCTTGAGAGTAACTTTATCCAATACATAGCAGCGAAAAATCACAATCACACCCATAAGTGGTAGAGATTTACCAACTAGAAAAAAAATCTCAAGATTAAGAGTGAGAAATCATGGTCGTAGGCCGACTGGCGGACTCGGCTTCGACTGAAAATCAATAGGCTCTTTGGAATATCAAGAGATTTACAACACTCTCATCACGTTGCCCGCCGACAACAATGCAAACAACTACAAAAGACAATTAACCAAAGAGAGGCATTGTAAACTTTGGTTGTTCTATAATCAGCTCGTCTCTGTTGAATCACCAAATTAAGCAAACAACACAAATCTTCTGCATCCAAATAGCTGTCCCCACTAACATATTGCAAGTAGGCCACCTCAATAGGCAATCATATGCATAGAAAATGTTCATCTCAACATGCAAACATGCATGAAAATTTCTATTCTAATGTGCTATTTATATTTGATAAATATTTTTAGTTCTCGTTTCATCAACCAAATCTCGATTAAAGTATATTGCAAAACATTCCTGCAACAACATGTGGGATATCATCTAGTTTTAGTGGATAGAGAACATTGAGTTATCAACAAACCAAACGTATTCCACCTTAATCTATCATTGTTTGCCTATGCACCATGTTCTTTAACTGAAATACACTAGCCTCTGATCGCCAACTTGAGGGCAGTCTGCTTTGGTGCCATAAAATATTAAAAAAATAACATATCTTCTTTTCTCCTTTCTTATGGGTTGTGGTTTTTCTTTTGTGTTTTCTCATCCTCTCACAGTGGCATTCGCGTCCTTCTCTCACATACCACTGCAGGAGGCTATGGATTTCTTCTTCCACTTCTATAAAGACATCATCTCAGTCTTTACATTTTTGTAAGGCATCTCAGTCACTAGATGCAACAGAAATTAATGATTCACATGTATTGGACTTGTGGGCTGAAGTTGGGCTCCCAACAAACCACCATATGGAGGATATTAACCCAACAATGTGTATGAATCGTTGTTGTACCTCGTATGGGGTAGAAACTTTGTGTACTAGATGATACCCCACACGTTGTTGGGGAATGTATTGCAATATATTTCAATGATAATTTTTTGTATAGAACATGAATATTGAAACAATACTATTAAAACTAAAGTTGAAAATACATATGGTTTATTGTGTTTGATTAGTACATAATATAAATATCATAATACAATGCAGATTCTCATACATATTTTCATGATGTGGTGGCTTCTTATGCATGGTTGCATGTTGAGGTGAGTCTTTTCTATACATGTTAAATGCTAAGTTGGTATGGTTGCATGTTGAGAAAAATATGTTAATGAGGGATAGCTATTTAGATATAGAAGGTATGTGGGCCACATTAGACATCCATGAGGTAGAGAAGAGAAAACCAACAATCTTTCTTAACCATGTGTGTTCCATTCAATTGAACCTCAGATATTCTATGTGTGTCTTACACTTGTCACTGCTATGTTTTTCTAGCGAGTATCACTTTCCTTGCTGCTGCATTTGGTTGGGT